TACTAATGGCGTGCTGTTAGTGGCGCATCACAGATGCGCCATTAATGGCCATAATAGGTGCGCCATTAGTAGAGGTTTTTCTAGTAGTGCTAGTATGGAATCCAGTCGAATCAGATGGGTCCAAGACATTTTTGCTAAAGAAAAAGAGAAGATGAATCCAAGAAGTAACGCCGAAAACGAGATTCTACGGTATCTCCAAAGAAAAGATAAGAAAAGAGATGGAGATTCTACAGCGCATTACGGCGAGAGAGAGACCTTGTGTGGCCATGAAAGTGAAACAGCAGCTGGTTGGTCCACGCAGACATGGGATCTTCCGGATTCTATAGCACTAGCTGTCTCTGACAAGCCATTCCACTGCACTACTACGTGGGAAAGGTGTCTCGGATCTTTCCTTGCCGACACGAGCCATGGACGCCGCCACGGGCACGGAGGGAACGGCCAGCGGCAGCGTACTCCTGCTCCTCCTCGTCGCCGGTGTTGTCGCAGTCTATGTTCGGCTGGGGCGACGGTGGGGGGACGGGAGCAGCAGCGCGCCGAGCCCGCCGTCGCTCCCGCTGCTCGGCCACCTGCACCTGCTCAAGAAGCCGCTGCACCGCTCGCTCGCCGCTCTCGCCGGGCCGGCGCCGCTCCTGTCGCTGCGGCTGGGCGCGCGAAGGGCGCTGGTCGTGTCCACGCACGCGGCGGCCGAGGAGTGCTTCACGGCGCACGACGCGGCGCTGGCAGGCCGGCCGCGGATGCTCGCTGGGGAGATTCTCGGCTACGGGCGCACCACCATCGTGTGGGCCTCCCACGGGGCGCACTGGCGCGGCCTGCGCCGGTTCCTTGCCGTCGAGCTCTTCTCGGCTTCCCGCGTCGCCGCTCTCGCCACCGACCGCCACGCCGAGGTCGCGTCCCTCGTCGAGAACCTGCTCCACGACGCCACCGCCAGCGCCGGGGGTGGGGGTGGGACTATCACGCTCCGGCCCCGGCTCTTTGAGCTGGTGCTTAACGTGATGCTGTGCGCGCTCACCGCGCGCCGGCATGCCGGCGACGTGGGCAGGATCCAGGAGATCATCGAGGAGACGTTTGCGGTGACCGGCGCTCCCAGCTTCGGGGACTTCTTCCCGGCGCTTCGCTGGGTCGACCGTCTCCGCAGCGTCGAGGCGGCGCTTGTAAGGCTGCAGGCAAGGCGCGACGCGTTCGTCACTGGCCTCATCGGTGACCAACGGCGAATTTCCAACGCACGTAGCCAAGAAGACGTGGACAAGAAGGGCGTAATCGACGTGCTCATGGAGCACCAAGCAACCGACCCCGAGTTTTACAGCGACACCGTCGTCAAAGGCATTGTCTTGGTGAGTAGCTAGCATATTTTTCAAACTGCATGGGTGACATTTTGGCGATCCGTGACAGCAACATGGTTGCCATGTCCATGCTGACTGACATTCAGGTACTCCTCACTGCCGGCACCGACACATCGGCGCTGACGACGGAGTGGGCGATGGCGCTGCTGATGACGCACCCGGCGGCGATGGCGAAGGCGAGGGCCGAGATAGACGCCGTCGTCGGCATGGGCGGGCTGGTCGACGAGTCGGACCTAGCCAACCTACCTTACCTGCACTGTGTTGTCAAGGAGACCCTGCGGCTCTGCCCCGTCGGCCCGATCATCCCGGCGCACGAGGCTGTTAGAATAAATCCGAGGCATACAG